GACACATTTTATATTTCAGGATTCACAGATGAATAGAAAGTTCAAAAGAACAGAATTTATTTGAAATAGAAATTGTGTGTAACTTTATAAATGTCTTTACTAGCACTTTTGATCAATTTAATGCATCCTTGATAAATAAAATTATTGATTATTTGCCAAAAAAAATAAAAAATCTTACTGAGCCCACACTTTTGAACAGAGATATACTGTATGTTACACAACTGTAGAGTCTGGACCAATCAGACACACCATTTTTCATTAGATTGACAGACAGTTGACCCTGAGAGGTCAAGTAAATACTTACAGTGGATCTAAATATTTATAATTAATTATAACTAGTTATGATTAATTATTCATATTTCCCCCTTGAGCTGATTCGCTACACAACCATAGATTAATGTATATTATTGATAATGTAGTGAAGTTCAACTTGTGTGCTTTTTTTTATTTTCTTCCTTTCTTATGTAATTTCTTTCTTTCAGAGCCTGAAAGCAAAGCAAACGAGAAAATGATAGAAACATAAGAAATGACAAAATAACAGAAGAAACAATAAAACAGCAACACTGTCATAACCAGACGTGATACAACCAGATTCTGTCCACATCACATGTTACGCGGTTATAAAACGTGACAAGTCACAGCCGGTACATAATCAAATTCATAAAAATAATAGTTTTAGCATTATTCAAAACTCATGCAGTGTTTGTCCGGGAAAACACTTGAACTCAGTTTGAACATTCTCATTTCCTTTTTCATTTACTTTCAAGCTCTGAGTTAAATGATCCATCGTATCGTTTCATCATGGCCATTAAAGCCACACAAAATATTAATCGAACTCAAATGAAACCTTTTCTGATGTTACTGAATCTCAGTCAGCACCTGATCTGTCAGCTGTGAAGTTATAGAAGTAGAAACCATTAGAGCTATGACCACTGAACGACTCTGAAATGCCACTCTCAGAGAAAAAAATAAAAGGTACAAAAGCTGTCACTGGGACGCCACCTTTTCAAAAGGTACAACAATGTACCATTAAAGTACAACTATTTACACTGGAGGTACTAAGATGCACTCTTGAGAGTGTATGGAAGTAATTTGGTGTCAACTATAACCAACCACTGATCCAACAAACCGTATGAAGGCATTTTCTGTATTGATTTTTACCTGTATTTTGACTTATGAATTGCATTTTGTTGTTGAATTTACCATATGTGACCCTGGACCACAAAACCAGTCATAAGAGTCAGTTTTTCGAATTTGAGATTTATACATCATCTGAAAGCTGAATAAATCTTAACTCTTAACATTAATCAACTATTTGAAAATCTGGAATCTGAGGGTGCAAAAAAATCCAAATATTGAGAAAATCATCTTTAAAGTTGTCCAGATGAAGTTCTTAGCAATGCATATTACTAATCAAAAATTAAGTTTTGATATATTTACAGTAGGACATTTACAAAATATCTTCATGAAACATGATCTTTACTTAATATCCTAATGATTTTTGGCATTAAAGAAAAATCAATAATTTTGACCCATACAATGTATTGTTGGCTATTGCTACAAATATCCCCCAGCGACTTAAGCCTGCTTTTGTGCTCCAGGAAAACAAATGTCCTTCCAGTTTCTTTCTACTGAATTTCTCTTTCAGCGATCGTCTCTCTTTTGAGCAGGGCCAGATTCGTGCCAAACTGGATTCATCTTTTCCTCTGGGTTCAGTAGGATGTGATTTATGTGCTTCCAAAGGCTCTTTCACACCAGACGCCAATGCGGTTTTCAATGGAAACTATGGATTCCTGTGGAGCTCTTCACAACATTCGCTTTGTAGATTCAACAGATTCTGTGCAATAATTAAATAAAAGAAGAAATAATACAGATACAGCATTAGCCTTGCAACAACTACGCTTCGTTGTGTTCGACTGTGAAAGACCTCGAGACTGTGGTATTTTCTGCTTGATACTAAAGTGCTTCTTTTTGGGTTTTCAGCTGCAGAAAAGGGAGCGCTCGTGTCGATATTTCATCCAGGTATTTTCCTCTTTATATTTGCACCGCTTTCATCCTCACGTCTCATGCTTTTCTCTTCATTCGCACCCCAGCTCATGTTCCTTGTGTTTTTGTGAGGTTGTGTTGTTGTCATTTGAGGCCTTGACCAAATGTAACCTCCACCTTTGCAAATTACCCATAATAATCCACTCGCTCTTAAACGCTTGCATGAGCGAACGCAGCCTACGATCACAGGAACACGCTTGTGAAAAGAAGTGAACTTAAGCATGCTTTTAGTGCAGAAATTATATACTTACGTGTGAACTGTTAATTGCAATTAAATTAAAATGTATTATAGTTTCGGTTTATATTAAAAATGCAATTAGTTCAACTTTAAAGTGTTTTTGACCTACTGAAGTAGGACTTGACTACAGCTTTACATGTCATTTCATAATTACTTCTATTGTCTTTTGAAATATGCTTAGAGTACTGCTGAATGTACTGACAAGCATTTATGGTAAGCTAAAATATGCTTTGATATAATTTCTGTTGAAACTTGTGTGTCATGCATTTAAGTCTAGTTGCAATTTAGTAGATTTAGGCCCGGTTTCACAAACGGGGCTTAGCTTAAGCCAGGACTAGGCCTTAGTCAAATTAAGATATTTAAGCGACTAAGAAAACATTACAAGTGCATCTCGACACAGAACAATGACACCGACATATTTTAAGATATGTCAGAGCAAGATATTTTCAGTTAAGACAGCGCAAACATGTATTTTAGTCTGGGACTAGCTTAAGCCTTGTCTGTGAAATCGGGGGTTAAAATATATTGACTTTAAATATAATATTGTATAACACACTACAGTTAAAATGATAATTAAGTACTTTCCATGTGCTTTAGTATGTTAGTCAACACATCAAAATAAGGTGTGTATATCTTTAAAACGCAATGATTTAAAATGTATTTTAAAGTAAAACTTTTTTTTGACATGATTACAAAATGCACTTTTTAAGTGCACTTAAGTGTGTTCAGAAACAGTCATAAAAATGTCTCTCTTTAAGTGACTTAAGTGGCCTTTTATTTCATTAATATTATATTTTCAGCAAGTGCAGTTTATTAAAAATACACTTTTTTAAGATTTGAAGTACACTACAAGTGTACATTCACTACAGTTAAGCGCACTTATTTTTCACAAGGACAAATGCAATTATCGGTCAGCTACTAATTGTATTATTAGGTAATGATCGATTTTTGTTCTTGGCCTCATTATTACCCATGACTGTGTTTTTGCATCAACGAGAGCAGCTGTGCTTATTATCTTTTGAATAAACCGGTTTTAGGTCACGTTTGTAAGCTATAGGTTAGAATTAATTCAGTGTTGTTCAGAAATGCAGGCTTGAGAAGCACAGCTGCTCTCAGATCAGCAGTCGCCTGCAGCTTTTTGCTTGAGCTCTGTCAGGTCATGTGACCGTCAGCCTTCCCAGCATGCACTTGACGATTGTTGAGCGACAGCTGTTTTGACAGAGGTCAGAGGTCAAGTAGACTGGATGAAGTGTGTGTTGGATGTGACGTATGTTAGTTGAGATGTCAGAGATCATGAGTGTTGCTGAAGATGCTTCATCTGTTTGACTTGTAATGCGTTTTCAGACGAGAGCTTATAGTGTGAATCCAAATCTGTCTGTTTGGCTTCAATTCACTTGAACTGAACCTTTGATATGGCCTCAAAACAGAACGTAACTTGTGTACATGATGGTGTAACATGTATAGGTGCCTTATATAATTCACTGAGAACTGGGAACATGTGGTTATTACTAATAGCATTAGTAATGTGCAGGTGAGACGTCAGTTTGTTTGCAAGCATGACCTGAAAAGCACCATGTTTTTAGCAGAGTTAGCAGGCTACGTCACTCTGTGAAGATTATTTCCAGATCTACTCCGTGCGTATGATTTAGTTTGAACCAGTGTTATTTTAATATTATTTACATGATTTTATAGTTTTTGAAATAGGTTTTATTTGTATATTTTCAGGTTCATTTTTAGTTGTGTGCCATGTCTATTAGTTTTTGTTCTTTTTAAATATTACGATTTAGGCTTGTTTGTTTATTATTTATGCATGTATTTGTTTGTTTATTTTTTCAGTTTGTTTATTTTCTGTTACTAATAATATTAATAATCAGACATTTTAGTTAATTTATTTAAATTTAAATTTATTTATTTTAAGTATAAAAAATAAAGTAAAATATTTTATTAGTTTTAGTTTGCAATAATAACACTGGTTTGAACTTGTGTTCACTTGAATTCAGTTTATGAAGTCATAATCGAATAAATTAAATACATAAAATATAAATCCACATCTGTATACTAAAGGATATAAGAAATAAATTAAGAAATTAATACTTTTATTCTGCGAGGATGCATTATCTTGATAAAAAAGACAGTAAAGACATTTATAATGTTACAAAACATGTCCATTTTAAATAGAAGCATCAAAGAAAATTTAAAATAAATTTTGAAAGAAAGCATTTATTCTGAAAAATAAAGTTTGATAATATATACAGTATATATGTATGTGTTCAAGAATTAATTAAACTGATCAAAAGTGACAGTAAAGACAGAATGTTACAAAATATTTCTATTTCAAATAAATGCTGTTGTTTTGAACATTCTATTCTTCAAAGAATCCTGAAAAATGTATCACAGTTTACGTAATAATCAGAAATGTTTCTTGATCAGTATATTAGAATGATTTCTGAAGGATCATGTGACACTGAAGACTGGTGTAATGATGCTGAAAATACAGCTTTGATCACAGAAATAAATTACATTTGACCATATATTCACATAAAAAAAACTTATTTTAAATCATAATAATATTTCACAGTTTTTACTGTGTTTTTAATCAAATAGATGCAGCCTCGGTGAGCAGAAGAGACTTCTTTCAAAAACATTACCAGCAGTGTATATGTATCATAAAATCCAGATTCAAAGCTTTTTAACAATTAATGATAAATGTGTCCATTTTCAGTGAATTGAACTCAAGTTTTGTTCAAGCGAGCATGACAACATTGCATAAGTGCTAGCTCTTTCTTTGTACGTGTTATGTTTGTCAGAAAACACCTCACACACAGCGATCAGAAAAGCTTTGGTCTGTTATTCCTGATGCTAAGGATGTGATGTGCACAGAAGATACAGTCGTTGTGGACGGGAAGAGCAGTGCATTTCCACTGAGAGCCGAGAAGCACAGAGAGTTTGATTATTTTTGTTTCGTGCTCCGGCGCAAAGTTTGTCTTATTAATAACAGTGATGGATCGATACCCGACCTGATCCCGCGTTAAGAATAGATTCCTAGCGCTGTGTTCAGAAACCAAAGCTCGGGTACAGAGTATGTTTTTCTGAGGGGAAATGGGTTTGATGTTGAAACTATTGATGCCCTTTCACGATCAATAAACGGCCCGCAACAAACTGAGCCGCTGTTGTTCTGAAGGAAAGAGATGTTCATGCGTTTGGAGAGCTGCGGCCCGTCTGGATGAAAATTACAGGGTTATTCTGTATATTTCTCAGTCTGTATGCCCACTGCAGCCTTCCTTTCCAGTTTACACAAAAGGCTATTATTGAGAATATGGGGGATATTATTATATAAAACAATGAAGAGAACATATTGATTAATTTCTTCATCACTGTTAAACGTGGTATTGTATGCTGCCAAACATTGTTGATAAGTCTATAAAAGCATCTGCTGAATGCATAGATATAAATGTGTTTATACACTTCTATATGCAAATAGCATGTTTTCTGTTGCGCTTAAATAGCTGCTCAAGTGGAAATTGCAATTATGATCAAATTATGTTGTTCTAAACCCATAAGACTTTCTTTGATACAAGGATTGCAAAAGGAGACATTTTGAAGAATGTCCTTGCTGCTCTTTCCCCAAGCAATTGTACTGAGACCAAAGCTTCAAAAGGAGGCACCTTAAAAGCAGCATATACAATTAGTCTATATGCAATTATATTTAATGTCTTCTGAAAGGATTTGACAGATTTGTCAGAGGAAATGTATTTTAATCCTCGTGCTGTGCTGAAAATCCTTTACCTAATTTGGTGTTCAAAAATGACCAGCCTTTTAGAAATCGCTTATCAATTTATTATGCTAGATCATCTCCGAATCTTGGATTCAATGTTTTTGTCAACTTGTTTTCTTTCAGTTAACACAGGTTTTGTGTTTCATTTTGGAACTGAAAAAAGTAAATAAATAAATAAATAAATAAAAAATTGTGGATGATTTTGGCAATATTCGCTTTAAAACTGAGGTGCATAAAATCAGATCAGTGAGGCCTACGATCAATCAGTCTCAAAAACAAACACAAAACCTGTGCTAATTAAAAGAAAACAAACTGATAAAAGGATTGAATCAATGATTTGGTAATAATTCCGCATAATAAGAAATGTATGAGCAATTTTTGTAGGCGAGTCATTTTTGACTGGGAACAACCCAAGTGGAACAAGGTGGGAAAAAACTTGGGAAAAAAGTAAAAAAATTATAATTTTTTATGATAATTTTTAGTCCTATGCAAAAAAAAAAAAAAAATCAGGTTGAAAAGTTTTAAATACAACATGAGCGTTAAATTGAACTGCGAAAAGACCAAATTATTTTGAACTCAAGTATTGAGTACTTAAGTATTGTAAAATGCTGTTTTGGTTTTTTAATGATATTTTCCGGCGCTATTTTGGTATTTTTTGGAGATTGACATACAGACAGTCAATGTATGGGAAAGAGCTGCATAAATATTCTTCAAAATCGCTCTGTTTGAAAATGTATTTTAGGTATTTTTTTTACTCTTTTTTTTTTTTGTGCCAGTGCAGCATTTTTAATTGCCATTGTGTTCAGTGTGTGTGCTATATAAAGAAACCCAGTCAGGCACTGCTGGCATTAATAAAGCCATTCCTTACTGTACCTTGCGGGAAAAGTGAATGTCAGTGTCAGTGAGATCATGTGAACATGTGAAGCTCATGTAAGCGAAGCTAGACCTGACGGACTGAATTTA